GTCCACTGCATTGGATGCCTCTTCTTTTGTGCTAGTCCACTAGATTAGACTATTGTCCACGTCCACAACAAGTGTTTCCATTTAGTTCCATATTGCTCTCAAAATTTGAGCTCCTGAACTATGCGTGGTACGCCCATTTTAGGTGCGCATACTAACCAGAGTACCCAGCGCATCACTTTGACTGGTCCACTGCATTGGACGCCTCTACTTTTGTGCTAGTCCAGTAGATTATACTACTTTCCACATCCATAACAAGTGTTTCTATTTAGTTCCATGTGGTTCTCAAAATTTGAGCGCCTGAACTATGCGTGGTACGCCCATTATAGGTGCGCATACTAACCAGACTGCCCAACGCATCACTATGACTGGTCCACTGCATTGGATGCCTCTTCATTTGCGTTAGTCCACTAGATTAGACTTATTTCCACATCCACAACAAGTGTTTCTATTTCGTTCCATGTGGTTCTCAAAGTTTGAGCTCCTGAAGTTTGCAGGTACGCCAACTATAGTTGCGCATACTGACCAGACTACCCAACGCATCACTTTGACTGGTCCACTGCATTGGATGCCTCTTCATTTGTGCTAGTCTAATAGATTGGACTATTTTCTACATCCACAACAAGTGTTTCCATTTCGTTCCATGTGGTTCTCAAAATATGAGCGCATGAAGTATGCGTGGTACGCCCATTATAGGTGCGCATACTGACCAGACTACCCAACGCATCACTTTAACTGGTCCAAGGCATTGGATGCCTCTTCTTTTGTCCTAGTCCACCTGATTAGACTATTTTCCACATCCACAACAATTTTATCCATTTCGTTCCATGTGGTTCTCAAAATTTGAGCGCCTGAACTCTGCCTGGTGCGCCCAAAATAGGTGCGCAAACTGACCAGACTGCCCAACGCATCACTTTGACTGGTCCACTGCACTGGATGTCTCTTCTTTTGTGCTACTCCACTAGATTAGACTATTTTCCACATCCACAACAAGTGTTTCTAATTCGTTCCATGTGGTTCTCAAGATCCGAGCGCCTGAACTATGCGTGGTACGCCCATTATAGATGCGCATACTGACGAGACTGCCCAACGCATCACTTTGACTGGTCCACTGCATTGGATGCCTTTTCTTTTGTGCTAGTCTAATAGGTTAAACTATTTTCCACATCCACAACAATTTGTTCGATTTCGTTCCATGTGGTTCTCAAAATTTGAGCTCCTAAACTCTGCCTGGTACGCCCATAATATGTGCGCATACTGACCAGACTGCCCAACGCATCACTTTGATTGGTCCACTGCATTGGATGCCTCTTCTTTTGTGCTAGTCCACTAGATTAGACTATTTTACACATCCACAACAAGTGTTTCCATTTCGTTCCATGTGCTCTGAAAATTTGAGTGCCTGAACTCTGCCTGGTTCGCCCATTATAAGTGCGCATACTGACCAGACTGCCCAACGCATCACTTTGACTGGTCCATTGCATTGGATGTCTCTTCTTTTGTGCTAGTCCACAATATTAGACTATTTTTCGCATCCACAACAATTTATTCCATTTCGTTCCATGTGGTTCTCAAAATTTGAGTGCCTGAACTCTGCGTGGTTCGCCCATTATAGGTGCGCATACTGACCAGACTGCCCGACGCATCACTTTGACTGGTCCACTGCATTGGATGCCTCTTCTTTTGCGCCAGTCCACTAGATTAGACTATTTCTGCATCCACAACAAGTGTTTCCATTTTGTTCCACGTGGTTCTCAAAATTTGAGCACCTGAACCATGCGTGGTACGCCCATTATAGGTGCGCATACTGACCAGTCTACCCAACGTATCACATTGACTGGTCCACTGCATTGGATGCCTCTTCTTTTGTGCTAGTCCACTAGATTAGACTATTTTCCGCATCCACAACAAGTGCTTCCATTTCGTTCCATGTGGTTCTCAAAATTGAGCGCCTGAACCCTGCCTGGTACACCCATTATAGGTGCGCATACTGACCAGTCTACCCAACGCATCACATTGACTGGTCCACTGCATTGGATGCCTCTTCTTTTGCGCTAGTCCACTAGATTAGACTATTTTCTGCATCCACAACACGTGCTTCCATTTCGTTCCATGCGGTTCTCAAAATTGAGCGCCTGAACTCTGCCTGGGACTGGTCCACTGCATTAGATGCCTCTTCTTTTGTGCTAGTCCACTAGATTAAACTATTTTTCGCATCCACAAAAAGTGTTTCCATTTCGTTCCATGTGGTTCTCAAAATTTGAGCGCCTGAACTCTGCGTGGTACGCCAATTATAGGTGCGCATACTGACCAGACTGCCCAACGCATCACTTTGACTGGTCCACTGCATTGGATGCCTCTTCTTTTGTGCTAGTCCACTAGATTAGACCATTTTCCACATCCACCACAAGTGTTTCCATTTCGTTCCATGTGGTTCTCGAAATTCGAGCGCCGGAACTCTGCCTGGTACGCCCATTATAGGAGCGCATACTGACCAGACTACCCAACGCATCACTTTGACCGGTCCACTGAACTGGATGCCTCTTCTTTTGTGCTAGTCCACTAGATTAAACTATTTTTCGCATCCACAAAAATTGTTTCCATTTCGTTCCATGTGGTTCTCAAAATTTGAGCGCCTGAACTCTGCGTGGTACGCCAATTATAGGTGCGCATACTGACCAGACTGCCCAACGCATCACTTTGATTGGTCCACTGCATTGGATGCCTCTTCTTTTGTGCTAGTCCACTAGATTAGACTATTTTCTACATCCACAACAATTGTCTCCATTTTGTTCCATGTGGTACTTAAATTTGAGCGCCTGAACTTTGCGTGGTATGCCCAGAAAAGGTGCGCATACTAACCAGACTACCCAACGCATCACTTTGACTGGTCCACTTCATTGGATGCCTCTTCTTTTGTGCTAGTCCACTAGATTAGACTATTGTCCACGTCCACAACAAGTGTTTCCATTTAGTTCCATGTGGCTCTCAAAATTTTAGCTCCTGAACTATGCGTGGTACGCCCATTTTTGGTGCGCATACTAACCAGAGTACCCAGCGCATCACTTTGACTGGTCCACTGCATTGGACGTCTCTTCTTTTGTGCTAGTCCAGTAGATTATACTACTTTCCACATCCATAACAAGTGTTTCTATTTCGTTCCATGTGGTTCTCAAAATTTGAGCGCCTGAACTATGCGTGGTACGCCCATTATAGGTGCGCATACTAACCAGACTGCCCAACGCATCACTTTGACTGGTCCACTGCATTGGATGCCTCTTCATTTGCGTTATTCCACTAGATTAGACTTTTTTCCACATCCACAACAAGTGTTTCTATTTCGTTCCATGTGGTTCTCAAAATTTGAGCCCCTGAAGTTTGCAGGTACGCCAACTATAGTTGCGCATACTGACCAGACTACCCAACGCATCACTTTGACTGGTCCAATGCATTGGATGCCTCTTCATTTGTGCTAGTCTACTAGATTGGACAATTTTCTACATCCACAACAAGTGTTTCCATTTCGTTCCATGTGGTTCTCAAAATATGAGCGCATGAAGTATGCGTGGTACGCCCATTATAGGTGCGCATACTGACCAGACTACCCAACGCATCACTTTAACTGGTCCACTGCATTGGATGCCTCTTCTTTTGTGCTAGTCCACCTGATTATACTATTTTCCACATCCACAACAATTTTATCCATTTCGTTCCATGTGGTTCTAAAAAAAAAAGCGCCTGAACCCTGCCTGGTACGCCCATAATAGGTGCGCAAACTGACCAGACTGCCCAACGCATCACTTTGACTGGTCCACTGCACTGGATGTCTCTTCTTTTGTGCTACTCCACTAGATTAGACTATTTTCCACATCCACAACAAGTGTTTCTAATTCGTTCCATGTGGTTCTCAAGATTCGAGCGCCTGAACTATGCGCGGTACGCCCATTATAGGTGCGCATACTGACCCGACTGCCCAACGCATCACTTTGACTGGTCCACTGCATTGGATGCCTTTTCTTTTGTGCTAGTCCACTAGGTTAGACTATTTTCCACATCCACAACAATTTGTTCGATTTCGTTCCATGTGGTTCTCAAAATTTGAGCTCCTAAACTCTGCCTGGTACGCCCATAATAGGTGCGCATACTGACCAAACTGCCCAACGCATCACTTTGACTGGTCCACTGCATTGGATGCCTCTTCTTTTGTGATAGTCCACTAGATTAGACTATTTTCCACATCCACAACAAGTGTTTCCATTTCGTTCCATGTGCTCTCAAAATTTGAGCTCCTGAACTATGCGTGGTACGCCCATTATAGGTGCGCATACTGACCAGACTACCCAGCGCATCACTTTGACTGGTCTATTGCATTGGATGCCTCTTCTTTTGTGCTAGTCCACTAGATTAGACTATTTTCCACATCCACAACATTTGTTTCACTTCGTTCCATGTGGCTCTGAAAATTTGAGTGCCTGAACTCTGCCTGGTTCGCCCATTATAAGTGCGCACACTGACCAGACTGCCCAACGCATCACATGACTGGTCCACTGCATTGGATGTCTCTTCTTTTGTGCTAGTCCACAATATTAGACTATTTTCGGCATTCACAACAGTTTATTCCATTTCGTTCCATGTGGTTCTCAAAATTTGAGCGCCTGAACCCTGCGTGGTACGCCCATTATAGGTGCGCATACTGACCAGACTGCCCGACGCATCACTTTGACTGGTACACTGCATTGGATGCCTCTTCATTTGCACTAGTCTACTAGATTCGGCTAGGAAGCGCATGGATCCCTATGGGCATAGGGAAAATCATCGAACGACCTAAATTTTATTGCATATTCCGATGTCCCATCGTCAAATACACCTACCACAACAATTTCAGCTTGGCGATCGCGATGATGACAATTTCAGCCGACAAATGCTAAGGGAGCGCATGGATCCCTATGGGCGTGGGGAAAATCATAAAGCGACCTAAATATTATTGCATATTCCGATGGCCCATGGTCAAATATACCTACCAGAGCAATTTCAGCTTGGTTTGCGCGAACAGAAAAGTTCGGCGATTGCGAGGATGTCAGTTTCAGCCTACAAATGCTAAGGAAGCGCATGGATCCCTATGGGCGTAGGAAAAATCATCGAACGACCTAAATGGCATTGCATATTCCGATGGCCCATGGTCTCCCATCACCCCGCCCCATTCTCCCGCTTTCCATCACCCCGCCCCATTCTCCTGCTTTCCATCACCCCGCCCCATTCTCCCGCTTTCCATCACCCCGCCCCATTCTCCCGCTTTCCATCACCCCGCCCCATTTCCCGCTTTCCATCACCTCGCCCATTCTCCCGCTTTCCATCACCCCGCCCCTTTCTCCCGCTTTCCATCACCCCGCCCTATTCTCCCGCTGTCCATCACCCCGCCCCATTCTCCCGCTTTCCATCACCACGCCCCATTCTCCCGCTTTCCATCACCCCGCCCCATTCTCCCGCTTTCCATCAACCCGCCCCATTCTACCGCTTTCCATCACCCCGCCCCATCCTCCCGCTTTCCATCACCCCGCCCCATCCTCCCGCTTTCCATCATCCCGCCCCATCCTCCCGCTTTCCATCACCCCGGCCCATTCTCCCGCTTTCCATCACCCCGCCCCATTCTCCCACTTTCCATCACCCCGCCCCATTCTCCCGCTTTCCATCACCCCGCCCCATTCTCCCGCTTTCCGTCAGCCCGCCCCATTCTCCCGCTTTCCATCACCCCGCCCCATTCTCCCGCTTTCCATCACCCCGCCCCATTCTCCCGCTTTCCATCACCCCGCCCCGTTCTCCCGCTTTCCATCACCCCGCCCCATTCTCCCTCTTTCCATGACCCCGCCCCATTCTCTCGCTTTCCATCACCCCGCCCCATTCTCTCGCTTTCCATCACCCCGCCCCATTCTCCCTCTTTCCATCACCCCACCCCATTCTCCCTCTTTCCATCACCCCACCCCATTCTCTCACTTTCCATCACCCCGCCCCATTCTGTGCTTTCCATCACCCCACCCCATTCTCCCGCTTTCCATCACCCCGCCCCATCCTCCCTCCTTCCATCACCCCACCCCATTCTCCCGCTTTCCATCACCCCGCCCCATCCTCCCTCCTTCCATCACCCCGCCCCATTCTCCCGCTTTCCATCACCCCGCCGCATTCTCCCTCCTTCCATCACCCTGCCCCATTCTCCCTCTTTCCATCAACCCGCCCCATTCTCCCGCTTTCCATCACCCCGTTCCATTCTCCCGCTTTCCATCACCCCGCCCCATTCTCCCGCTTTCCATCATCCCGCCCCATTCTCCCTCTTTCCATCACCCCGCACCATTCTCCCACTTTCCATCACCCCGCCCCATTCTCCCGCTTTCCGTAACCCCGCCCCATTCTCCTGCTTCTTAACACCCCGCCCCATTATCCCGCTTTCCATCACGCCGCCCCATTCTCCCGCTTTCCATCACCCCGCCGCATTCTCCCTCCTTCCATCACCCTGCCCCATTCTCCCTCTTTCCATCAACCCGCCCCATTCTCCCGCTTCCATCACCCCGCCCCATTCTCCCTCTTTCCATCACCCCGCCCCATTCTCTCGCTTTCCATCACCCCGCCCCATTCTCCCGCTTTCCATCACCCCGCCCCATTCTCCCCCTTTCCATCACCCCGCCCCATTCTCCCGCTTTCCATCACCACGCCCCATTCTCCCTCTTTCCATCACCCCGCCCCATTCTCCCTCTTTCCATCACCCCGCCCCATTCTCCCTCTTTCCATCACCCCGCCCCATTCTCCCGCTTTCCGTCACCCCGCCCCATTCTCCCGCTACCCATCACCCCACCCCATTCTCCCTCTTGCCATCACCCCGCCTCATTCTCCCGCTTTCCATCACCCCGCCCCATTCTCCCGCTTTCCGTCACCCCGCCCCATTCTCCCGCTTTCCATCACCCCGCCCCATTCTCCCGCTTTCCATCACCCCGCCCCATTCTCCCGCTTTCCATCACCCCGCCCCATTCTCCCGCTTTCCATCACCCCGCCCCGTTCTCCCACTTTCCATCACCCCGCCCCATTCTCCCTCTTTCCATCACCCCGCCCAATTCTCCCGCTTTCCATCACCCCGCCCCATTCTCCCACTTTCCATCACCCCGCCCCATTCTCACTCTTTCCATCACCCCGCCCCCTTCTCCCTCTTTCCATCACCCTGCCCCCTTCTCCCTCTTTCCATCACCCCGCCCCATTCTCCCGATTTCCATCACCCCGCCCCATTCTCCCGCTTCCCATCACCCCGCCCTAATCTCCCGCTTTCCATCACCCCGCCCCATTCTCCCGCTTTCCATCACCCCGCCCCATTCTCCCGCTTTCCATCATCCCGCCCCATCTTCCCTCCTTCCATCACCCCGCCCCATTCTCCCGCTTTCCATCACCCCGCTCCATCCTCCCTCCTTCTATCACCCCGCCCCATTCTCCCGCTTTCCATCACCCCGCCGCATTCTCCCTCCTTCCATCACCCCGCCCTATTCTCCCTCTTTCCATTACCCCGCCCCATTCTCCCGCTTTCCATCACCCTGCCCCATTCTCCCGCTTTCCATCACCCCGCCTTATTCTCCCGCTTTCCATCACCCCGCCCCATTCTCCCTCTTTCCATCACCCCGCACAATTCTCCCGCTTTCCATCACCCCGCCCCATCCTCCCTCCTTCCATCACCCCGCCCATTCTCCCGCTTTCCATCACCCCGCTCCATCCTCCCTCCTTCTATCACCCCGCCCTATTCTCCCGCTTTCCATCACCCTGCCGAATTCTCCCTCCTTCCATCACCCCGCCCCATTCTCCCTCTTTCCATCACCCCGCCCCATTCTCCCGCTTTCCATCACCCCGTTCCATTCTCCCGCTTTCCATCACCCCGCCCCATTCTCCCTCTTTCCATCACCCCGCCCCATTCTCCCTCTTTCCATCACCCCGCACCATTCTCCCGCTTTCCATAACCCGCCCCATTCTCCCGCTTCCTATCACCCCGCCCCATTCTCCCGCTTTCCATCATCCCGCCCCATTCTCCCTCTTCCCATCACCCTGCTCCATTCTCCCGCTTTCCATCACCCCATCTTAACCTCCCTCCTTCCATCACCCCGCCCCATTCTCCCTCTTTCCATCACCCCGCCCCATTCTCCCTCTTTCCATCACCCCGCCCCATTCTCCCGCTTCCCAGCACCCCGCCCCGTTCTCCCGCTTTCCATCACCCCGCCCCGTTCTCCCGCTTTCCATCACCCCGCCCCATTCTCCCTCTTTCCATCACCCCGCCCCATTCTCCCGCTTTCCATCACCCGCCCCATTCTCCCGCTTTCCATCACCCCGCCCCATTCTCCCGCTTTCCATCACCCCGCCCCATTCTCCCTCTCCATCACCCCGCCCCTCTCATGCCTTCCCCCTCTCATGCCTTCCCCCTCTCATGCCTTCCCCCTCTCATGCCTTCCCCCTCTCATGCCTTCCCCCTCTGATGCCGTCCCCCTCTCATGCCTTCCCCCTCTCATGCCTTCCCCCTCTCATGCCTTCCCCCTCTCATGCCTTCCCCCTCTCATGCCTTCCCCCTCTCATGCCTTCCCCCTCTCATGCCTTCCCCCTCTCATGCCTTCCCCCTCTCATGCCTTCCCCCTCTCATGCCTTCCCCCTCTCATGCCTTCCCCCTCTCATGCCTTCCCCGTCTCATGCCTTCCCCCTCTCATGCCTTCCCCCTCTCATGCCTTCCCCCTCTCATGCCTTCCCCCTCCCATGCCTTCCCCCTCCCATGCCTTCCCCCTCTCATGCCTTCCCCCTCTCATGCCTTCCCCCTCTCATACCTTCCCCCTCTCATGCCTTCCCCCTCTCATGCCTTCCCCCTCTCATGCCTTCCCCCTCTCATGCCTTCCCCCTCTCATGCCTTCCCCCTCTCATGCCTTCCCCCTCTCATGCCTTCCCCCTCTCATGCCTTCCCCCTCTCATGCCTTCCCCCTCTCATGCCTTCCCCCTCTCATGCCTTCCCCCTCTCATGCCTTCCCCCTCTCATGCCTTCCCCCTCTCATGCCTTCCCCCTCTCATGCCTTCCCCCTCTCATGCCTTCCCCCTCTCATGCCTTCCCCCTCTCATGCCTTCCCCCTCTCATGCCTTCCCCCTCTTATGCCTTCCCCCTCTCATGCCTTCCCCCTCTCATGCCTTCCCCCTCTCATGCCTTCCCCCTCTCATGTCTTCCCCCTCTCATGCCTTCCCCCTCTCATGCCTTCCCCCTCTCATGCCTTCCCCCTCTCATGCCTTCCCCCTCTCATGCCTTCCCCATCTCATGCCTTCCCCCTCTCATGCCTTCCCCCTCTCATGCCTTCCCCCTCTCATGCCTTCCCCCTCTCATGCCTTCCCCCTCTCATGCCTTCCCCCTCTCATGCCTCCCCCTCTCATGCCTTCCCCCTCTCATGCCTTCCCCCTCTCATGCCTTCCCCCTCTCATGCCTTCCCCCTCTCATGCCTTCCCCCTCTCATGCCTTCCCCCTCTCATGCCTTCCCCCTCTCATGCCTTCCCCCTCTCATGCCCTCCCCCTCTCATGCCTTCCCCCTCTCATGCCTTCCCCCTCTCATGCCTTCCCCCTCTCATGCCTTCCCCCTCTCATGCCTTCCCCCTCTCATGCCTTCCCCCTCTCATGCCTTCCCCCTCTCATGCCTTCCCCCTCTCATGCCTTCCCCCTCTCATGCCTTCCCCCTCTCATGCCTTCCCCCTCTCATGCCTTCCCCCTCTCATGCCTTCCCCCTCTCATGCCTTCCCCCTCTCATGCCTTCCCCCTCTCATGCCTTCCCCCTCTCATGCCTTCCCCCTCTCATGCCTTCCCCCTCTCATGCCCTCCCCCTCTCATGCCTTCCCCCTCTCATGCCTTCCCCCTCTCATGCCTTCCCCCTCTCATGCCTTCCCCCTCTCATGCCTTCCCCCTCTCATGCCTTCCCCCTCTCATGCCTTCCCCCTCTCATGCCTTCCCCCTCTCATGCCTTCCCCCTCTCATGCCTTCCCCCTCTCATGCCTTCCCCCTCTTATGCCTTCCCCCTCTCATGCCTCCCCCTCTCATGCCTTCCCCCTCTCATGCCTTCCCCCTCTCATGCCTTCCCCCTCTCATGCCTTCCCCCTCTCATGCCTTCCCCCTCTCATGCCTTCCCCCTCTCATGCCTTCCCCCTCTCATGCCTTCCCCCTCTCATGCCTTCCCCCTCTCATGCCTTCCCCCTCTCATGCCTTCCCCCTCTCATGCCTTCCCCCTCTCATGCCTTCCCCCTCTCATGCCTTCCCCCTCTCATGCCTTCCCCCTCTCATGCCTTCCCCCTCTCATGCCTTCCCCCTCTCATGCCTTCCCCCTCTCATGCCTTCCCCCTCTCATGCCTCCCCCTCTCATGCCTTCCCCCTCTCATGCCTTCCCCCTCTCATGCCTTCCCCCTCTCATGCCTTCCCCCTCTCATGCCTTCCCCCTCTCATGCCTTCCCCCTCTCATGCCTTCCCCCTCTCATGCCTTCCCCCTCTCATGCCTTCCCCATCTCATGCCTTCCCCCTCTCATGCCTTCCCCCTCTCATGCCTTCCCCCTCTCATGCCTTCCCCCTCTCATGCCTTCCCCCTCTCATGCCTTCCCACTCTCATGCCTTCCCCCTCTCATGCCTTCCCCCTCTCATGACTTCCCCCTCTCATGCCTCCCCTCTCATGCCTTCCCCCTCTCATGCCTTCCCCCTCTCATGCCTTCCCCCTCTCATGCCTTCCCCCTCTCATGCCTTCCCCCTCTCATGCCTTCCCCCTCTCATGCCTTCCCCCTCTCATGCCTTCCCCCTCTCATGCCTTCCCCCTCTCATGCCTTCCCCCTCTCATGCCTTCCCCCTCTCATGCCTTCCCCCTCTCATGCCTTCCCCCTCTCATGCCTTCCCCCTCTCATGCCTTCCCCCTCTCATGCCTTCCCCCTCTCATGCCTTCCCCCTCTCATGCCTTCCCCCTCTCATGCCTTCCCCCTCTCATGCCTTCCCCCTCTCATGCCTTCCCCCTCTCATGCCTTCCCCCTCTCATGCCTTCCCCCTCTCATGCCTTCCCCCTCTCATGCCTTCCCCCTCTCATGCCTTCCCCCTCTCATGCCTTCCCCCCCTCATGCCTTCCCCCTCTCATGCCTTCCCCCTCTCATGCCTTCCCCCTCTCATGCCTTCCCCCTCCCATTTGTCTTAGCCATTTGGCTTAGCCATTTGGCTTAGCCGTTTGGCTTAGCCGTTTGTCTTAGCCGTTTGTCTTAGCCGTTTGGCTTAGCCGTTTGTCTTAGCCGTTTGGCTTAGCCGTTTGGCTTAGCCGTTTGGCTTAGCCGTTTGGCTTAGCCGTTTGGCTTTGCCGTTTGGCTTAGCCGTTTGGCTTTGCCGTTTGGCTTAACCATTTGGCTTTGCCATTTGGCTTAGTCATTTGGCTTTGCCATTTGGCTTAGCCATTTGGCTTAGCCATTTGTCTTAGCCATTTTGCTTAGCCATTTGGCTTAGCCATTTGTCTTAGCCATTTGTCTTAGCCATTTGTCTTAGCCATTTGTCTTAGCCGTTTGTCTTAGCCGTTTGGCTTAGCCGTTTGTCTTAGCCGTTTGGCTTAGCCGTTTGGCTTAGCCGTTTGGCTTAGCCGTTTGGCTTAGCCGTTTGTCTTAGCCGTTTGGCTTAGCCGTTTGTCTTAGCCGTTTGGCTTAGCCGTTTGGCTTAGCCGTTTGGCTTAGCCGTTTGGCTTAGCCGTTTGGCTTAGCCATTTGGCTTAGCCATTTGGCTTAGCCATTTGTCTTAGCCATTTTGCTTAGCCATTTGGCTTAGCCATTTGTCTTAGCCATTTGTCTTAGCCGTTTGTCTTAGCCGTTTGTCTTAGCCGTTTGGCTTAGCCGTTTGGCTTAGCCGTTTGTCTTAGCCGTTTGGCTTAGCCGTTTGGCTTAGCCGTTTGGCTTAGCCGTTTGGCTTAGCCGTTTGTCTTAGCCGTTTGGCTTAGCCGTTTGTCTTAGCCGTTTGGTGTAGCCGTTTGGCTTAGCCGTTTGGCTTAGCCGTTTGGCTTAGCCGTTTGGCTTAGCCGTTTGGCTTAGCCGTTTGGCTTAGCCGTTTGGCTTTGCCATTTGGCTTTGCCATTTGGCTTAGCCATTTGGCTTTGCCATTTGTCTTAGCCATTTGTCTTAGCCATTTCGCTTAGCCATTTGGCTTAGCCATCTGGCTTAGCCATTTGTCTTAGCCATTTGGCTTAGCCATTTGGCTTAGCCATTTGTCTTAGGCATTTGGCTTAGCCATTTGGCTTAGCCGTTTGGCTTTGCCATTTGGCTTTGCCATTTGGCTTAGCCATTTGGCTTTGCCATTTGTCTTAGCCATTTGTCTTAGCCATTTCGCTTAGCCATTTGGCTTAGCCATCTGGCTTAGCCATTTGTCTTAGCCATTTGGCTTAGCCATTTGTCTTAGCCATTTGGCTTAGCCATTTGGCTTAGCCATTTAGCTTAGCCGTTTGGCTTAGCCGTTTGGCTTTGCCATTTGGCTTTGCCATTTGGCTTAGCCATTTGGCTTTGCCATTTGTCTTAGCCATTTGTCTTAGCCATTTCGCTTAGCCATTTGGCTTAGCCATCTGGCTTTGCCATTTGTCTTTGCCATTTGGCTTAGCCATTTGGCTTAGCCATTTGTCTTAGCCATTTGGCTTAGCCATTTGGCTTAGCCATTTAGCTTAGCCGTTTGGCTAAGCCGTTTGTCTTAGCCATTTGGCTTAGCCGTTTGGCTTTGCCGTTTGGCTTAACCATTTGGCTTTGCCATTTGGCTTAGTCATTTGGCTTTGCCATTTGGCTTAGCCATCTGGCTTTGCCATTTGTCTTTGCCATTTGGCTTAGCCATTTGGCTTAGCCATTTGTCTTAGCCATTTGGCTTAGCCATTTGGCTTAGCCATTTAGCTTAGCCGTTTGGCTAAGCCGTTTGTCTTAGCCATTTGGCTTAGCCGTTTGGCTTAGCCCTTTGGCTTTGCCGTTTGGCTTAACCATTTGGCTTTGCCATTTGGCTTAGTCATTTGGCTTTGCCATTTGGCTTAGCCATTTGGCTTAGCCATTTGTCTTAGCCATTTTGCTTAGCCATTTGGCTTAGCCATTTGTCTTAGCCATTTGTCTTAGCCATTTGTCTTAGCCATTTGTCTTAGCCGTTTGGCTTAGCCGTTTGTCTTAGCCGTTTGGCTTAGCCGTTTGGCTTAGCCGTTTGGCTTAGCCGTTTGGCTTAGCCGTTTGTCTTAGCCGTTTGGCTTAGCCGTTTGTCTTAGCCGTTTGGCTTAGCCGTTTGGCTTAGCCGTTTGGCTTAGCCGTTTGGCTTAGCCGTTTGGCTTAGCCGTTTGGCTTAGCCATTTGGCTTAGCCATTTGTCTTAGCCATTTTGCTTAGCCATTTGGCTTAGCCATTTGTCTTAGCCATTTGTCTTAGCCGTTTGTCTTAGCCGTTTGGCTTAGCCGTTTGGCTTAGCCGTTTGTCTTAGCCGTTTGTCTTAGCCGTTTGGCTTAGCCGTTTGTCTTAGCCGTTTGGCTTAGCCGTTTGGCTTAGCCGTTTGGCTTAGCCGTTTGGCTTAGCCATTTGGCTTAGCCATTTGGCTTAGCCATTTGGCTTAATCGTTTGGCTTAGCCGTTTCGCTTAGCCATTTGTCTTAGCCATTTTGCTTAGCCATTTGGCTTAGCCATTTGTCTTTGCCATTTGGCTTAGCCATTTGTCTTAGCCATTTGTCTTAGCCATTTGGCTAAGCCATTTGGCTTAGCCGTTTGGCTTAGCCGTTTGGCTTAGCCATTTGGCTTTGCCATTTGGCTTAGCCATTTGGCTTAGCCCTTTGGCTTAGCCATTTGTCTTAGCCATTTGGCTTAGCCATTTGTCTTTGCCATTTGGCTTAGCCATTTGTCTTAGCCATTTGTCTTAGCCATTTGGCTTAGCCATTTGGCTTAGCCATTTGGCTTAGCCATTTGGCTTAGCCATTTGGCTTAGCCATTTGTCTTAGCCATTTGGCTAAGCCATTTGGCTTAGCCATTTGGCTTAGCCGTTTGGCTTAGCCGTTTGGCTTAGCCGTTTGGCTTAGCCGTTTGGCTTAGCCGTTTGACTTAGCCATTTGTCTTTGCCCTTTGTCTTAGCCATTTGGCTTAGCCATTTGGCTTAGCCATTTGTCTTAGCCGTTTGGCTTAGCCGTTTGGCTTAGCCGTTTGGCTTAGCCGTTTGGCTTAGCCGTTTGGCTTAGCCGTTTGGCTTAGCCGTTTGGCTTAGCCGTTTGGCTTAGCCGTTTGGCTTAGCCGTTTGGCTTAGCCGTTTGGCTTAGCCGTTTGGCTTAGCCGTTTGGCTTAGCCGTTTGGCTTAGCCGTTTGGCTTAGCCGTTTGGTTTAGCCGTTTGGCTTAGCCGTTTGGCTTAGCCGTTTGGCTTAGCCGTTTGGCTTAGCCGTTTGGCTTAGCCGTTTGGCTTAGCCGTTTGGCTTAGCCATTTGTCTTTGCCATTTGGCTTAGCCATTTGGCTTAGCCATTTGTCTTAGCCGTTTGGCTTAGCCGTTTGGCTTAGCCGTTTGGCTTAGCCGTTTGGCTTAGCCGTTTGGCTTAGCCGTTTGGCTTATCCGTTTGGCTTAGCCGTTTGGCTTAGCCGTTTGGCTTAGCCGTTTGGCTTAGCCGTTTGGCTTAGCCGTTTGGCTTAGCCGTTTGGCTTAGCCGTTTGGCTTAGCCGTTTGGCTTAGCCGTTTGGCTTTGCCATTTGGCTTTGCCATTTGGCTTTGTCATTTGTCTTAGCCATTTGTCTTAGCCATTTCGCTTAGCCATTTGGCTTAGCCATTTGGCTTAGCCATTTGTCTTAGCCATTTGGCTTTGCCATTTGTCTTAGCCATTTGGCTTAGCCATTTGACTTAGCCATTTGGCTTAGCCGTTTGTCTTAGCCGTTTGTCTTAGCCATTTGTCTTAGCCATTTGGCTTAGCCATTTGTCTTAGCCATTTGTCTTTGCCATTTGGCTTAGCCATTTGTCTTAGCCATTTGTCTTAGCCATTTGGCTAAGCCATTTGGCTTAGCCGTTTGGCTTAGCCGTTTGGCTTAGCCATTTGGCTTTGCCATTTGGCTTAGCCATTTGGCTTAGCCGTTTGGCTTAGCCGTTTGTCTTAGCCATTTGTCTTAGCCATTTGGCTTATCCATTTGTCTTTGCCATTTGGCTTAGCCATTTGTCTTAGCCATTTGTCTTAGCCATTTGGCTAAGCCATTTGGCTTAGCCGTTTGGCTTAGCCATTTGGCTTAGCCATTTGTCTTAGCCATTTGTCTTAGCCATTTGGCTTAGCCATTTGGCTTAGCCATCTGTCTTAGCCGTTTGTCTTAGCCATTTGGCTTAGCCATTTGTCTTAGCCGTTTGGCTTAGCCGTTTGTCTTAGCCGTTTGGCTTAGCCGTTTGGCTTAGCCGTTTGGCTTAGCCGTTTGTCTTAGCCGTTTGGCTTAGCCGTTTGGCTTAGCCGTTTGGCTTAGCCGTTTGGCTTAGCCGTTTGGCTTAGCCGTTTGGCTTAGCCGTTTGGCTTAGCCGTTTGGCTTAGCCATTTGGCTTAGCCGTTTGTCTTCGCCGTTTGTCTTAGCCATTTGGCTTAGCCGTTTGTCTTAGCCGTTTGGCTTAGCCGTTTGGCTTAGCCGTTTGGCTTAGCCGTTTGGCTTAGCCGTTTGGCTTTGCCGTTTGTCTTAGCCGTTTGGCTTTGCCGTTTGTCTTAGCCATTTGGCTTAGCCATTTGGCTTAGCCATTTGGCTTTGCCATTTGGCTTAGCCATTTGTCTTAGCCATTTCGCTTAGCCATTTGGCTTAGCCATTTGTCTTAGCCATTTGTCTTATCCATTTGTCTCAGCCATTTGGCTTAGCCATTGGCTTAGCCATTTGGCTTAGCCATTTGTCTTAACCTATCAGATCTATGTAATTTGGCAGATATAGACATTCCAGTCCTACATGGTACCTGCACTACAGGCGCGCATACCGACCAAACTGACCAGCGCATTACTTATGTTTTAAGAAATGCAGTTAATACCATATTCTTGTCTGTTCACTAGATTAAGCCTTCTACTTCAACAACACTTGGTTATAACCTTTCCGATCCACATAATTTGGGAGATTTTAGAGTTCCAGCTCCGCCTTGTACCTGCACACAAGCGTGCATACTGAACTTACCGGCCGACGCATTTTCTCTCCGTACAAATACAGTGAATACCGTATGTATTCCCATTTGCTTACAAATACCATGTTTTAACC